CCCCCACCCGATTTTCCCCTCCCCCTCTAAAAAATTTGCTTATTAGCAGAAAGGAAGCGAAGAGGGGGGTAATTATAATTAAAAAGAGAAACCTCTCCTGATTGCTCGCTTTTCATATACACGCACAGAGAGAGAGACAGAGAGAAATTCTCCCATGCAGGGCAAGGGGGGAGTTCAAGGAATTGAGGGGTGTTCTTTGATGCCCAGGAATTGGGGAGTTTGCAATCTCAATTTCTGGGCTATTAGCAGAAAGGAAGCGAAGAGGGGGGTAATTATAATTAAAAAGAGAAACCTCTCCTGATTGCTCGCTTTTCATATACACGCACAGAGAGAGAGACAGAGAGAAATTCTCCCATGCAGGGCAAGGGGGGAGTTCAAGGAATTGAGGGGTGTTCTTTGATGCCCAGGAATTGGGGAGTTTGCAATCTCAATTTCTGGGCTAATCACGCCGAGAGATCTGTCTCTATATTTGTAATTTGATTAAAAAAAACCAACACCTCTTTGCCAGGGACGTTTATCTGCTGGATTCAGGCATCCAAGAATGGGGAAAACATCTTAACTTCTCCCCCCCCCCCTTTACTGTCATGCAGAAAAAACAAGGGGGGGGGACATAAGAATTGAAACCTTTAAAATATATCATCTCATTGCTTTGATTCTTACCTCGTGGGTCTGCCACGAAGCCCCTCGCTTTTGGCTAAAAAGATGGGCACGTATCTTCGCCTTTTCTCTCTTCCTTGCTCTTTTTCTCTCCTCTTCCTTTAATCCTCGGAGGAGAAACAAGTCTTCAAGGAGGGACGCTGAAGATGGAATTGACAAGGAAAAAAAGGGGGAAAGAGATGCGAGGCGTGAGGATATATATGAGCCGCCAAAGGAGACTTCCACGTAGCCTATACGTAAAGTATACGTATTATATTTAAAAAAAAAAGATGATATGCAAATGTTGGGAGGTCAAACTCATACATTACAAGGGTATTTTGAAAGGGGGTGGTGGAGGAGGGAGGTGGGGGCGCAATAGTGCAAAGCTTTCTTAACCTATGTATTTATAGCAATCGATCAGCAAAGCCCAGCAGCTTGGCAATTAGAAGCTCATTACCATATATGCAAATATGGCAACCTACAGCCACCGCCGTGGAGGCTACCAGGATGAATTCTTAGCCGCGTTTCTTAGCAATGACGCCAAATGATAGCACCGCTGTTGACTTTAATGGGGGGGGGGGGGGGAGAGGGG